GGGGGGGGGGGGGGGGGCGCAGGTTCCTGAAGGTTCCATATCTACCACTGCCCCTCCTAGGTTCACAATTCCCACATGTCCCCAACTTCAAGTCGCCATTATTTCTCCTGGGCACCCTAGGCCACTACCTACCCCACCCCCCACCTCCCCAGCTCCGGTGGCCTTCCCGGGAAGGCTCTCTGCCTCAGGTCCCCACCCTCCACCTCTGGTCGTCCTTCCCGGGGCGCACCTCGTCTGCCTCAACTCTCCTCCTCTGAGTTCCTCCGCATTGTTTCCCTTCTCAATTTTAGGTTGTCCTCTTTGAGGTCGCCGATCCCCCGACCTCAGAGCGCCCCCTCTTAGGCCCCTGCTGGTTCCCGGTCCCTCAGCCCCTCGAGTCCTGCTACCTCGAAAACTGGTCTGCAGCAGGGGGTCACTGAAGCCAATGTGCTTTAGGAAGGCGCACACCTGCTCCGGGTCCCAGGTCTGGTGGTTGGGGTGAAGTTCGGGGTTCTGGGATGGCTCTGCAGCTGCGGTATGGATGTTTGGTGGGGTTCCTGGGCTGCCATTGCATCGGGACCGCTTGAAGGGACGCTCCGAGTCAGCGCGCTGCATGGTTACAACCTGTGCCCAGGCCAGCACAGGTAAGAACCGCGGCGCCCGACCCGCGCGCACACGCACTGACTGCTGGGCCCAATAGGAGAGTACGCTCAGTTTAGCCTACCAACTGGGCCCCCGCACAGGCGCACTGAGCTGCATAGCCAGACAAACGGCCAGACGCGCAGGCGCACTGTTAATCCAGTCGTTTTGGAATCAGCCAAGGAGTGTAAATAAGGGGAAAGGCTAGACGTTGGTGGCACTGGGAGCCCATGGTGGGAGTCTGGTCACAATTCTGGAGCGGCGGCTCTTTCGGTGAGTTGAGAACCTCCGTCCTGCAAATGAATCACTCAGGCTTCCCCTTGCCTGCATTTCAGATGCCCCCATTACTCAGAATGGATCCGACAGCAACTATTTTTTTTAACTAAAATCTAAAAGGCTATCTGACTGCCAACCTTTGCAATGAAGAGGGAAAAATGGGCAAAGGGCTGAAATGAAGACCCTGGAATGATTTATAATCTGATGTAAGCATTTCAGGCATTTCAGTAGTTCCAGAGTGAACTTTGGGACTGCGTGTCTATCCATGAAACCCTCTCTTCAAGTTTCTATAAAGGAACTGATATAAAATGTCTACTCTTCAAATGGAGACAAATTCCTGGAAAAGAGAGCTCTCAACTCCTCTTCACACCAACACGCTGTCCAGAGGACGGGAAGTGGTGAATCTGATTTCTTAAAATTTACCTCCAAGACTGGCTTACAAGTTTTCAAGAGGGAGCTTAGTTTAGTTTCAGAGGGGGCGCTGGGGGTGGGGGCGGGGAGGGAGGGAAGGTAGAATCTCCACTGAGTGGTTTCCAACCTGTCTAGACAGGGCTGGTGAAAGGAGATGGGAATAAGACTCTTGTGGTTCAATAGTGAATAATTACTATCAGGACTGATTGTGAATGTTGCAAATGTAAAGGTAGACGTTTTGTAACAAAAGTAGGGTAGTGGTTGATATTGCGCACAGGACCCTGGGACTATCAAGGGAGAAAAGCGGTGTGTGGGACCCTATCCAGAGAAGCAGCGATGTGGGGGAAGGAGAGATGGAACGGCTGGGGAACTCTAGACTCAGCTGGTGGCTGAGGGGCAGGTTTGCAGGGTTTGGTTGTTCAAATGGTTGTATATTCCTGAGTACTTTGGTGTACATCCAAAAAAAACACACAAACAAATAAAAACAAACCTAGGGAATGGAAGCAAATGCTGTTGAATGATGATGCATGGAGGGGATTATAATCATTGCAATGAAACGAAATCCGATAGGATGACTGTAAAGCTGATGTTCTCCCATGTAAACTATCACTCAATTCACAATAAAAACTTAAAAAAAAAATTACCTCCAAGGACTTTAGTTGTTGTTAAGTGCCATCAAGTCAATTCTGACTCATAATGACCCTGTCTAGGGTATCCAAGAAGCAGCTGGTGAGTTTGAACCACTGACCTTGTAGTTCAAATTGACCTTGCAATTCCGTGCTTATCCTGCAGCACCACAACACTAGTTTTCCTCCAAGGACTTTTGTTGTTGTTACTGTTTAGTGCAGTTGAGTCGGTTCCAACTCACAGCCACCTTGTATAGGGTTTCTGAGAAGCGTTTGGTGGATTTGAACTGCCAACCTGTGGTTAATAGTCCAATGCTTATCCTATAGCACCATACCAGTACTCCATTATTATTAATAGTCATAATAATGAACAGGATAAGGTAAAAACATTCACTGCCCTTTCTGCCCAGGAGACAAACTAAAATGTTAATCAGGTTACTGAGTGGAACCAATCCTCTGGTTTCCCTCCTGTCTTCAAACAGGTCCGCAATCTAACCCTGCCCTGATTCTGACCCCATATAAGTCTGCACTGCCCTGCATTCTGCACTCAGAATCTGGAGAAGCTAGCTCAGCTGAGTCAGCAGGCTTAATAAAATCTGAAACTCTGCTTCACCTCTCCGAGTGGCCTCGGTTTCTTCGATGACAGATCAAGAGTTGCTGTGACAATCTTGAATCTAAAACTGCTGTTAACAATAATAATCCTTTTAGTAAGTTAATTGTATGGATCAGGATTTATAGGGAAACTTGGGCCCTACTCTAAGGTGACTAAAGTGAGGAGATGCCTATCATTATACACAATAAAGTCTATGCCTTGGCACAGTCAAAGACACATTTAGGGAATAAAGGATTAAAGAGGCACTTGTTAAGTGCCATCTAATTGATTCTGACACAGTGACCGTGTATAGGGTTTTCAAGGAGCAATTGGTAAATTTGAACCACGGTAATCTAGTGAGACCTACAGTAACCTTAACAAACACTTATGCCTTACTGTTTGCCAGGAAATGTTCCAAGAACTTTACATATATTAATTCATTTACTTACACAATAATCTTATGTTATAAAAAACCTGAGTGTTGAAGATCACAACTAGCAAGGGATGAAGCCTAGATTCAAAGCCTATCTCCAGCCTTTATGTTCTTGCCCACCATTACTTGCTAATGGGGATTTCGATTTTTAAAACTATTACATTTTGTTGTTATCAATTTTAGAGTTGGATCTTGACTCATGGTGACCCCATGCATAACAATGAAATGTTACGTTGTCCTATACCATTCTCATGATCTGATGTGGATTGGAGCGTTGTGATTCATAGGGTTTTTCATTGGTGGATGATTTTTGTAAATAGGTTGCCAGGCCTTTCTTCCTAGTCTGTCTCAAACTGGATGCTCCACAGAAACCTGTTAAGCATAACTGACAAATGTGTAGTGACTGTCCACAAGGTACATTGTTGCTGTTGTTTGGTGTCATCAAGTTGCTTTTGACTCATAACAATCCATGCAGAACAGAACACGCCTGGTCTTACGCCATCCTCATAACTGTTACATTTGAGCCCATTGCTGCTGCCACTGTGCCAGTTCATCTTATTGGTGGTCTTCCTCTTTTACCTCCATTTTACCAAGCATACTCTCCAGGGACTAGGACCTCCTAATAAGACGTCCGAAATTTGAGAGACAAAGTCTCTCCATCCTCGCTTCTAAGAAGTATTCTGGTTGTACTTCTTCCAGGACAGTTATGTATGTTCTTTTGGCAGTTCATGGTACTTCAATATTCTTCTACAACACCATAATTCAAATGTGGTGATTTTTCTTATTCATCATTCAGGTTTCATAGGCATATGAGGCAATTGAAAATACCATGAGTCAGGTGCACCTTAGTCCTCAAACTGACTTCTTTGCTTTTTAGCACTTTAAAGAGGTCTTGTGCAGCAGATTTGCCTAATCCTATAATACATCCTTGGATTTCCTGACTGCTGCTCCCATCAGTTTTTTAATTTTTTTTTTT